TAGAAAGTTCTGTTTGTTTAGCTGGCATACATGCTGATTGTCCACTGTTTTTCTTCTAGATCGGGAGAATCAGTCTATCTTAATCACGTATGTATTACTATTCTGAGACTTACTAGTATTATATTCTCCCTGGGAAAATGACAAACCACACCAAGAAATTAGTTAACTCCCCCATATTAAAGCAATGGCACGATCAGGCTGGAACTAGATATTGCTTTCACTTTACTATAGGGTTTCAATGCACCAGAATATAAAATAACAATGTCCTAAGTTATGTCATTTCCTGCTTCAATCTTGGAGTTTCCACAGAACTTTCTTGAGAACAGGAGATGTAAAATCCCTTTTCTGCACATGGTCAGAGCCCCGTACAGGGCAGTGAAAAACATACAACCTTCTGAACGTTGAACAGTTTGGGAATGTCACCAGTGGCTTAATTTTAATGTCTACTTGAAGAATGTCTATTCCTTCAAAGACCTACCTTGGGCCATGTCTTTATTCTAAGGAAGCTGAGGAACACATGCATTGCTTCGTAGAAGTTTTATTTTGTTTTGTTTTTTGTTACTTGTTTCATTTACTACAAAGTTGTTGAGTGGGCTGCTCTTTGGACCCCTCAAGCCTAGGCCTCAGCACCTAGAAGAGAGTCTGGCACATTTTAAACACTTAAGAACTATGTGCTATGTGAATAATGAATGAATTTCTCTACTTCTTGCCAGTGCAAAGCAACAGAATATGAGCAATACCAAGAGAAAGATCTAGGAGACTCTGACAAAGACATAGAAAGATAAATGCCTAAGGCAGTAAATGCTGATTGTAGAAATAATTTCATTTGTCACAAACCTTAACTTATGTCTGGTCACTGTTTGGCAGCGGAGAATCTGGTGCAGGGAAGACCGTGAACACCAAGCGTGTCATCCAGTACTTTGCAACAATTGCAGTTACTGGAGAGAAAAAGAAGGAGGAATCTGGCAAAATGCAGGTGGGTCTGATCGCCAAGGTCAGAATCTGGGCTCTTGGGTAAGAAGTTCCTGAGCCCCACATGTGAGGACTGCTCTTGCTCTTGCAGGGGACGCTTGAAGATCAAATCATCAGCGCCAACCCCCTGCTGGAGGCCTTTGGCAACGCCAAGACTGTGAGGAACGACAACTCCTCCCGCTTTGTGAGTCTCTTGGTCACAGGAGGGTTTTCTTAGCCTTTAAGTGCCAGAAAAAGCATGTCTGAATTATTATTTCAATCTCATCATTTCTGTGTACTTCAAGTTTTGCATATACCATCATCTTTTTTTCACTTGCAAGGGTAAATTCATCAGGATCCACTTTGGTACCACAGGGAAACTGGCTTCCGCTGATATTGAAACATGTGAGTAACAGGACCTTCCAAACAGAGTCCAAGAATGACAAATGATGGTTTGGAGGAACACTTTGAAGCTCCTGCCGAGCCCAGAGCCTGTGAAACACTAGTGGCTGCCAAACATGCCCGTGGTTAATGCCAATCTTATCCATAGCCCACAGTGTGCTTTATCCACTTCAGTCATGAATTAGTGATTCTGTAGGAACTGCCAGGAGCCGCTGGGCTTGTCTGAAGTATTCCAGCCTCAGAATGAATTTCCAATTTTTCTAAGAAAAAACTAACACTAGGAGTAAATGAGCTACCTACAGATTGAGTATATGTGATTTCTTCCTAGTCTGAGACTTGCTAAATAAATGTTGCCCTTAGTAGCCCCTCTATTATACAGTGAGAAGAGACCCTGGGGAGGGAGGGGTTTCAAAATCAATTATATTCCAAATGTCAAGGATCTTCAGTGTGAGAAATATATATGTCTTGGGGCAGGCATGCTTAAGTTTCTTTCTAGAGGTGGTGAAAGTAACTGGAATGGTATTTGTGGAGATGTAGTATGGGGTACCTCATGGGGACATTCAGCTGAAACCTCAAGGGGCCAGTGAGATTTCGCTAATGACCCCAAGTTCCAAAATCACTGCAGGAACTTGATAATGTTTCTGCATAATTCGATGTCTACTTTCCACTGCAGATCTCCTGGAGAAGTCTAGAGTTACTTTCCAGCTAAAGGCAGAAAGAAGCTACCATATTTTTTATCAGATCATGTCTAACAAGAAGCCAGACCTAATTGGTAAGAAAGAGCTTACATTTAAAAGCCAGAAGTTAATCATTATATTAACATCTTCTAATATAAAACATATACCCTGAATTCTATTTCCCAGAAATGCTTCTGATCACCACCAACCCATATGACTATGCCTTTGTCAGTCAAGGGGAGATCACAGTCCCCAGCATTGATGACCAAGAAGAGTTGATGGCCACAGATGTAAGTTACACATGTAGTTTCTTTAAAAAATCCACTATATGTGGGAATGACAGTAACAACTTACTGCAGGTGTGGTTAAGGTATAGCATAAATTCTCCTAAATAAGTTAGTGTCTTCTGACCTAACTTTTGCCCTCTCATTCCCCCTGATAGAGTGCCATTGAAATCCTGGGCTTCACTCCTGAGGAGAGAGTTTCTATCTACAAGCTCACAGGAGCCGTGATGCATTACGGGAACATGAAATTCAAACAAAAGCAGCGTGAGGAGCAGGCTGAGCCAGATGGCACGGAAGGTACCATATGAACTTCCATCTAGTTTTAATAAGAGAATATAGGCCAAAAATCCCATTCCACACTCATGTCTCCTTTACAGCTGAGCTTCTGATGAAAATGTGCAAGTTTACCTCCCACACAGTCTTTCTAAAAAGTGATTCATTACTCTGCCCCTGTGAATTGTGGAGCTCTCAGTAGGTCATGTTGGGTACCTGAATTGTGTCTCTGCAGTTGCTGACAAGGCAGCCTATCTCCAGAATCTGAACTCTGCTGACCTGCTCAAAGCCCTCTGCTACCCCAGGGTCAAGGTCGGCAATGAGTATGTCACCAAAGGCCAGACTGTACAGCAGGTGAGTGCGTGACCTCAATGAATCACACACATCCCAGGCCTTTGCAGCCTGTCTTTAATAACACCAACAATCATTACTCTGACCCTGAAGGTATACAACGCGGTGGGTGCTCTGGCCAAAGCCGTCTACGAGAAGATGTTCCTGTGGATGGTCACCCGCATCAACCAGCAGCTGGACACCAAGCAGCCCAGGCAGTACTTCATCGGGGTCTTGGACATCGCTGGCTTTGAGATCTTCGATGTGAGTTAATATTAGATAAGGTCCATGAAAAAGAGCTTCATTACAAGCTAAATTGACACATAAAGAAGCCAAAAGTTCATGAAAGGGCATGAACTTGGGAAGAGACAGATCTGGACTCAAACTCCACCTGTCAGTTCTTGCCTATGTGACCTTGCATAATGGAAAAAGGGTATCCGACCAGTCACTGGGCAAACTGAACTAAGACTGTATGTACGCAAAGCACCTAGCACTCCAAATAACACACTCACTTCTGAGATCTTTCTGCCAGTTACAAGATTTCTGAATGCCCTAAGCACCACCCTCAAGTGTGTAGATGGCATTTGGTAAATGATAAAGAAGGTGGTGAGGGTAGCATTGGTAGCCAAGATGCCAGTGGGAAAGACAGTGACAAATTCAAGGAAAGATTTTAAGATTCCTATCTGCCCTGCAATATCCAGGTGTAAGAAAGGAAATGGCATTGTAAGGAAACTCAAATTCATTTGCCTAAGCAAGAATACCTCCCAGGTGGTTTAGGAAACAAGGTCACCAAAGTCGCCTACCTGACAGCAGAATCAGTGTCTGATCCACAAGCTGCATTTCTGCACCTTTTTCTGAGTGACTGATAGATGCTGGAGGAAATTTTCTGTGCTTTAGAGACAAGAGCATTTCCAGGGATTCCCAAGCCCACATGGGAAGAGAGTTATAATCTAGCACCACACAAGAACAGAAAAGCAATCCACCTTTTCTCAAATTAGAAAACCAAAGACAGTGTCAATTTACAACCTCTTAGCATATTTTTAGTAACAGCTTTATTAAGACATAATTCACATACCATACATTCACCTATTTAAAGTACTTAAGGCAATAGTTTTTAGTATATTTACAGACATGTGCAACCACCGCAATAGATTTTAGACTTTCATCACCCCAATAAGAAGCCCCATCCCCATTAAGCAGTCATTCCCCCTCCCCTCTCGCTCCCAGTCCCTGGCAGCCACTAGTCTGATTTCTGTCTCTATGCATATACCTGGACATCTCATATACATGTAGCTATACAATATATGGTCTTTGAATGACTGGCTTCTTCACTTAGCTCATCCATATTGTAGAACTTCTTTGACTTCTGTGTATGGTGAAGCTGCTCTGACACAAGAGCATTCCCAGTGTGTGTTTTCATCTAGGTGTCCTGAATAGTGAAGCAGAGCTGGTCTCCTCAAGTTCAGGAACAGCTAAAACACCGGCTCTGCTGTTAGAGCCAAGCCTCGCTGCTCACATGCTTGCATGCTCCTCTTGCACTGGGTATTTAACCTCTCTAGCTGTTTTCTCATCCATGAAGTGGGCAAATAGTACCACCATACAAGGTGGCTGTGAGGATTAAATGCAGTAACTTATGCAAAGCACTTAGCACAGTGTCTAGAATATGGTAAATGTTCAGCAAATGTTACCTGTTGAATTTTTACTACCATTATTAATAAGAACATACAGACCCCAATGGCTCAGATATACACTTAGCTAGTTATATAATATAATCATAAAGAGATAAATTACTAAGAAACCTCTGATCAACAAATATAGATACTGTCAAAACCAAACAACTGTTTTATTGCACAGGAAAGCATCACTCAGAAACTGTTTACCCCTGTTGAAGAGAGACTTCCAACAGCTTGCTGACACTTCCTGGCTGGCGGCCGCAGAAAAGAAAGAGAAAGGGCCTGCTAGAGTCAGGATAAAGCCACACCATCCTAATAGGGCAGTTAGGCTAACCAACCAAGAAGGGGCCCTTTCAAAGAGAAGCTTTTATTATAAGATGAATGTTAATTTGTATTTTCTACTCACTTAGTTCAACAGCCTGGAGCAGCTGTGCATCAACTTCACCAACGAGAAACTGCAACAGTTTTTCAACCACCACATGTTCGTGCTGGAGCAGGAGGAGTACAAGAAGGAGGGCATCGAGTGGGAGTTCATCGACTTCGGGATGGACCTGGCTGCCTGCATCGAGCTCATCGAGAAGGTTCGCTTGCGTAGTTCATACCGCAGATTATAATGCTGAATAGTATTTAAAAGAAAATCATAAAATCTTGATATATACTATGGTACAAGGTTTCTAATTTTAAACAAAATCAGGAAAAGTCCTTCTTTTGCCAAGTTTGAGGCAGGTGTTCTGTTAAAAGGGCACTGGATATTCTCTGTAGATTGCAGAAGTATACATTTCCCCATAATTTGCAATGCAAAGTCTTATACTTAAAGTCATCATTCCTTAAGAGAAAGCACTGATGAGAATTATTTTTTATGTATTATTTCTTTGTCATCCTTACATTCACTATTACTGGCAATTAAAATATGGATTTCAGGTACTTTACAGCATAAGCTGTCAAACTTCAGTTGTGCCAAAGACTCACCACAAGTATTTCATAAAATTGCAGATTTCCCTAATCTCACCTTAGATAGAGCCTTGGTATCTGCATTTTTTCCCCCAAGTGATTCTGACTAGTTTGCAAATCACATTTGGCAAAATATTGCCCAAAAGCATTTAGGGCAAAGACACAAACCCCACAAGAGCACACCTTTCATTTATCACACTGTCCATCATATCCCAAAGCCTGACACAACACCTGGATCTTGATAGGCACCTGATAAATATTTACTAAATTATCAACTCTGACCAAAGAAGTAAGTTTTCATTAACTATGGGAATTGAAGGATGAATCGACTCAAATAGGATCATAATGTTACATATATTTCTACAAGCAGACAAAATTCAAATAGCATTTCTTTCTTTCCATTCTTTCAGCCTATGGGCATCTTCTCCATCCTGGAAGAGGAGTGCATGTTCCCCAAGGCCACGGACACCTCCTTCAAGAACAAGCTGTATGAGCAGCACCTTGGAAAGTCCAACAACTTCCAGAAGCCCAAGGTGGTCAAAGGCAAGGCCGAGGCCCACTTCTCGCTGATCCACTATGCAGGCACCGTGGACTACAACATTGCCGGCTGGCTGGACAAGAACAAGGACCCCCTGAACGAGACAGTCGTCGGGCTGTACCAGAAGTCTGCAATGAAGACTCTGGCTTACCTCTTCTCTGGGGCAGCAGCAGCTGCTGAAGCAGGTAATTTTCAACAGAATTAATCTTTTATTTAATGTATAAAACATAAACTCTGATTGTTTATGCTTTCTCTGCCCCCTGTAGAAGCCGGTGGTGGTGGTGGAAAGAAAGGCGGTAAGAAGAAGGGCTCTTCTTTCCAGACAGTGTCTGCACTCTTCAGGGTACAAAATTCATTTTCTCTGTCTAATTAGATTCAGAAAATTAAGCTGGACTTTATTTATGAGGAAGAGGGAGTAAGTAAGCTTGCAAGGATTAGAACTGGGTGTGACTCAAGGAGACAGGTCAGCTGGTAGTGGTATAACTGAGTCTTAAAGGGTAGTAGTTTGGGTAGTTTGGAAGGGATGTCTCAGTGTATAGGAGATGCAGACACCAGGAGAAATGAGAGTGAATTGCAGATGTCGGTATCAGATGGTAAAATTCTACTCTGCGGCTGGAAAATGAGGTCATTTGATACTTAAGAGGTTCTGTTGGGATAGGACCGAGTAAAACATGAGATCTGCTTGAACCGAGGAAGCCTCCAAATGATGTAGGTGCTCAGGTGTATATTGCCATAGAACTGAAATGAGTAGATTTTGAAAGTGGAGGATGAAGAACAGTGGTGGGAACTGGAGCCTGAGTTCTAAGGAGGAAATAAGAAACCAGAAGTGATACAAAATTTTCTTTAAAGAAATTTACTTTTCTTTTGACAATTTCATCTGTAACATCTGATGTTCTAGTTATTCTGAAAAACTAGGACTTCCATAAGTTGGAAAACCTCTTACACTTGGTAACATGGCTGTCAGTTTTCTGCCAGTTTCCAGAAGGAGGCATTAAAAGACCACTTCTATGGAACACACAGTTTTGTAACTATGATAAGGAATAAGCATGTGATAGAGAAGCAGATACAAATGAAAGCCAGATAAAGAAAGAAATGGGAGATTTGGAAGAAGACACTGAATTATTTGTAAAACCAGACCACATAACTAGGCAAAAGAGTAGGAGTGTGTTCGGAATGTCATGCTAAATTCACAACACATGCTAGGAAATCCAATGGCAGTGAATAACCTCTTCCACAGCTAGACAAAAATACGTTTTTAATGCATAAAATAGGAAATAGAAGGACATGTTGGGAAGTGGAAATTCCAGAGATAACTGTCCAAATTCAAATCTGGATACTATTCATTAGAATCGAACCAATGTCATAGATCATGAGGAACAGAAGAATGTCCATAAATATGAATGGATGACAACAGCACATTTGTAAACCAAATATTCAATATATTCCACAGGAGAATTTGAATAAGCTGATGACCAACTTGAGGAGCACCCACCCCCACTTTGTGCGGTGCATCATCCCCAATGAGACCAAAACTCCTGGTAAGACACTTCTGATACCCAGACGGGCTCCAGTGTGTTTGCTAAAGGCCGTGAAAGAAGGCACGTGTGTTCTTCCTGTTAGGGGCCATGGAGCACGAGCTCGTCCTGCACCAGCTGCGGTGTAACGGCGTGCTGGAGGGCATCCGCATCTGCAGGAAGGGCTTCCCCAGCAGGATCCTCTATGCAGACTTCAAACAGAGGTCAGGCTTTCTCACTGTGAATTATTTCAAGAGGTTCTTGTTATTTACTTTAATTTTTCACTTAAAGAATCCTTTATCCCTTTTATTAAAACTAAGCAGAAGAGAAATGCAACAGACTCTGCACTGACATACCAAAAGTTTGACACTCTTTGAATATAAAGGGAATAGATATTGAGGTAGATGTGATTGCTTGTGTATGTTTGTTAGACTACCTGAGAGCTTTGTGGCTTCTATGGTAGGGGGAAGGTTTCTTGTTGGCAACACGCCTCTATTATTTATTTGCTTGACTTAAACAGATACAAGGTATTAAACGCGAGTGCTATCCCCGAAGGACAATTCATTGACAGCAAGAAGGCTTCTGAGAAGCTCCTTGGGTCCATCGATATTGACCACACCCAGTATAAATTTGGTCACACCAAGGTAATAGTCTCTAAAGCCTGCCAGATGCTATTCCTGTCCTCTCAAAGTTTTTGCAGAGTTTCTGAGCTGCAGTTCTGCCCCCACACAGGTCTTTTTCAAAGCTGGTCTTCTGGGGCTCCTAGAAGAGATGCGAGATGACAAGCTGGCCCAGCTGATCACACGAACCCAGGCCAGGTGCAGAGGATTCCTGGCAAGAGTGGAGTACCAGAAGATGGTGGAGAGAAGGTATTATTATAGATACTTTACTGAATCCCATGAGCCTAGGCCTTTTAATTCCGCCTCCTGGCTTTGAACACTTCTGTTTCTATCACAGGGAGTCCATCTTCTGCATCCAGTACAATGTCCGTGCCTTCATGAATGTGAAGCACTGGCCTTGGATGAAGCTGTATTTCAAGATCAAGCCCCTCCTCAAGAGTGCTGAGACAGAGAAGGAGATGGCCAACATGAAGGAAGAATTTGAGAAGACCAAAGAAAGCCTCGCAAAGTCTGAGGCCAAAAGAAAAGAGCTGGAAGAAAAAATGGTGGCTCTGATGCAAGAGAAAAATGACCTGCAGCTCCAGGTCCAGTCAGTGAGTATCAGGCCCATTTCCTGCACCTGATGCTAAAACCGCAGTTCAGTACTTGCTAGGGAAAGGTCTAGAGTCCACCTTACTGAGGGAGTGATTATAAACCTTTCCTCATTCACAGCTCCTTAGAAGTTCTATAAAACTTCACATACAATATTACTAAATAGTACTTGGTAGGACTCCTTGCTGTTGGAGGGAAAAACAAAGGCATTTTTATTTTCCCCCTATTGTTTTTCCTAGCAGAATGTTGGCAAGAAATAAGGTGATCTTTGCTCTCTAAGAGTCTCCCTACTGTAAATGCAAATAAGAGCAGTGAAGAAAGAACAATATTGACAGGGAAGGAAAGAGACTTTATGATAAAAATATATCAGCTTGGAATCAATATTCTGAAGTTTTACTTCTGTGACCCTCTGGTAACTTCTAACTCTATCTTTAGAATCTCTAATATCTGAAAGGACAGGACCATTGCGAGGATAATGGCAATGTTTTTTAAAGGTAGTGTTGATTTTTACACAGGGCATGAGAAATAGGGTTGATGTTCTTGTTCTGATGTCCCAGTAAATATCAGAGGCTTGGGGAGAAATATTTGATCAAATGACACTGTCTAACCCACTTTTGTGACCCAAATGAGGAGAGAATTTCAGCTGCTGCTACTAAAATCAACAGAAACATAGGAGATTACCCTCTACTTCTCTGAATTCAGAAGGGAATCTTCATTGGTCCCCTTGAGCACATAGGTCTTGGTCACGCAACTAGAAAATTTAAAGACAGATGCATTGTGACTTTCCTTGTAGTTGATGTAGAACATCATTTTCCAAACTGAAGAGATGTTCATCACACCTTCAAAAATGAAGGGATAATCATAGAGGGTATCAGAGTTTGATCCACTCATGCTCCTCTCCTTTGAATATGCTATGACTCCTTTTTAGTGTTTGTCTGTCAACTGTCCATTTAACAAATACTTAATGAAGGTTCAAGCACTAAGAATATGACTCAGACCAAGAGACACAGTCCCTGCCATCACAGTTTATATTCCAACTCCCATTTCATCTCCTGAGAAACATACCAGCTGCTTGTCTACACACTACCTTTCAACACTTCAGCTCCCCATAGTTTTTCCACGTGCTCCCCTTAATTCCCAGCTACTCTGTCACTGCAGGACTTATCTTCCCTGTAAGTCACCTTTCTGATATTACTCTGCTCTCCTAGCAACCTGCAAGACACCCAACCACTGCGTTTGTTTTTCATACACTAAACTTTTCCAGAAATAATATTAAATTAAAAAACTGATCTGAAGTTATATACCAACCCATTAAATATAGGTTATTGTGTAGGAACAGAAGAAGTTTTCCTCAGCCCTCTTAGAGTCCCCTGGCCTGGGTCTGAAAATTAAACTGACAAAG